ACAGTGGTCTTGGGTAAATATTGTCTTAAAAGTTTTTTACTAAGTAGGTAAAGCTTAGCAAGTAGGAGAAAGACCTGAGCTCAGGTGACACAGCTTTTCTTCCTGGATTTATCATATTTAACCTTGGTTTGCCCAGTTATATATTAGTAGCAATCTTCCACAGTCAAAAGAATGTTAAACATTGAGTGGGGTTTGTTGTTTAGTGAGACTTAGACTGATCCTTTTCTCTTCAGCTGAATGAAAAAGACTTGGGAACCTCTCTATGAATTTCTATTTCAAGTATTAGAAGGTTTCCAGCAAGTCACTGCACTCCAAAAGGTGGAGGGAATAGCAGAAGAGGTTACTTCTATTCTACATTAGGTGTTGATTGTGCTGGTTACTCTCACTGTCTCCTTTGGACAACAGGTGTCTGATTGGTACATTGACTTCAACACGTCGGGTGGGACGGACCGGGAGGGCTGGCAGTATGCAGCAGACTTCCCAGCGTAAGGAAACACTTCTTCTGCCTAAAGTCCTACAGGCAAATGCCATACTTAAGTCCTCATTTCTTCTTGTTTGCTGTTTTGCACATTAACTGTGCTTTGAGAGGGACACAACACTGCCTTGATCACTGGGATTTGCTGGGAGGGAGGGCATAAGGTGAACTAAGCCAACTGCCACATCAGGCTTTTTGAAGTCAGCAGGTGTGTCTGGTGGGCAGATACAGACAGTGCTCTCAGCCTGGCACTGACACTGGAGATGCCTGACATCCTCATGAACACCTATTTAAATCTGTTTTGGCAGGTCCTACCATGGTCACAAGACAATGAAAGATTTTGTCCGACGGAGGCGCTGGGCAAGGTGAGCAACTAAGATATTACAAGTATAGAATATGTGTTAGATATAACCAAAATATGATGAGATTCAGATTAGACATCAGGAAAACCTTTTTCACTGTTAGGGTGGTCAGGCATGGGAATAGGTTGCCCAGGGAGGTGGTAGAGTCATAATCCCTCAGGGTGTTTAAGAGGCATTTAACCTGGCACTAGAGGATGTCATTTAGGGGTCACAGCAGAGTGACAGGTTAATGGTTGGACTTGATGATCTTAGAGGTCTCCTCCAGCCTTGATGAGTCTATGATTGTATATAAATAAGTTTTGAACTTGAATGCTAGCTGTTCACTTCAATCTCCTTTAGTTATAAGGGGAAGGGTCTTGTCACCCAATCAATAAAAGAGATTGCAAAGAAACCCACGATAAATCACCAGTCTCCAAGAGAGAAGAATCTTTAGCACTATGGCTTTAATTGTAAGCCTGTACAACAGGGTAAGGTAGTTACCCTATCTGATCTTGTGAGATCTGTAGATAAAAGTCAGTTATTCTCTGGATCTGATTTTCCATATGGTAAATGATTAATAGTAGAGTGTAGGTATATCAGTACCTATGAGGTCACTTGGAACAACTGGTAATATGTCTTTTATACTGATAGTGTTAGCATATGAATTCCACAGACTGTGTGCTAGGCCACAGCTAATCCACCCCCATTTCAGTCAGAGTACACCACGGTCAGTGCAACCTGGAAAACAGCAAACTGCCACTATATGCTATTAAGCTGAGAAAGTCTGTGCATTCCCTGTTTTTCCAGCTTTTCTATGCTTTCTATACTAGAGCATCTAATAGCTGTGCTAACAAATTGCTGTGAACTTACACACTGTTGGGTTTGTTATTGATGCTACAAAGTGAGTATTTTGCCCCTTTGTTATCCTGAAACATTCCAGGATATGCAGCAGAACAAATGGCATCCAGTAAATCAAAATGGTGACTTGAAATAAAATAAGGACATTGAGAAATACCCTCAGGTCTAAACATTTCCTTCTGTTTTAACTATCAACTGAAAACTGAAAACAAATAGGGAAGCACTCAGGGCTGGATCTAGTTCTTCAGAACTGGAAAACAGACAAATGTCCTGAGTTTTTTTAGGACATTCTTCATACACAAAATTATTCTGGTGAAAATAGAGTCTAATATAATTTCCATAATAGACAGCACAACTTTGATGCAGTTTGCACAGTATAAATACACCAATTCCCAGCATGACCTCCCAGCTCTCTAATTTAGAGCTGCCTTACCTCTGCCTGCCTCAAGATGCTATGTAACTTTTTAGCAGGCCACATCACAATAGGAATTGTAAAATTATTCCCTTAACCAAGACAGAGGAAGGAGTGAACTGGGTATGGAGTTCTCTCTGCAATTGGATTCATTGTCCAACTGTTGCCCAGAGAGTCTGAGAGAGCTTATGAGCAGTGTAGCACAAGTTGCAGGTTTTTGGGGTGGCCTTTGGTTTATAAAGTAACTTTCTTTGAAAAAAACAGAAGCTTTGAGAAATCAGTAAGAGATCAAAATTCAAAATGTGATGCAAAACATGACTGATTGTTAAAAACCTCTTTCAAACTAAAAATACTAATACTTAAAGAAAATTGCAACCTCATGAAAAGACTTCAGAATTGGAAGTCACCAATGGACTGGGAAACAAATTCAGTTATAGAAAGTACATGTTTCTGACAGGTCTGGGTTTTTTCTGCTTCAGAAAATGTAAGATAGTCACCAACGGGCCATGGCTGGAAGTGCCTCCTGTGACCCTGTGGGACATCTCCATAATTCCCAGTTCAGCTGCAGATGATGAAGAAACAGTAGCCCTGTGGGCAATCAGTGACAAAGGAGACGTGCTCTGCAGGCTTGGAGTGACACAGCAAAACCCAGCTGTAAGGCTCCCTCTTCCTTTTTACTGCCTTACTCATGTGTTAGATGTAATTATGCAAGCACACACACAATCACACAGTGCCTTCTCTCAGAGCACCTTGGTATCTTTCACCTTTTATGTGCCAGATCTGGAAGTCCTTGTCCATCAGCTGTAGCAGAGTTTGCTGCCCATGTTCCTTGTGCTTCTCTTGCATTAGCTCCCTTAGCTTGTGCCACAGCACTTGCAGGAACCTCTCTCAGCTCCTGTCCATCTTCTCATTCATGAACCATTTTACTTTCTGCACTGATAGCTTAGTTCTTTTTTTTGTTTGTTTCTTAAATTGTTGATAACCTGTATCCCATGTAAGTGAATTGCCAAGGAATAGAATTTCCCTGAAGTATGGTCCCAGTATAGTGTCCCTTGATATTAGTAGGAGTTTATCCTTGGACTTTTCTGGGCCTGGAATTAACTCTGCTTATTTAAGAGAGGTGGGACTGGACATACCTACAGATCTACATTTTTTTATGGACTGGCACAGAAATAATGAGCCAGTGTCCAGTAAAATGTGCAGAAATGCACAAAGAGTCCCAGTAACTTCTATAGGAATGTTTATTTCCTACTGATAGGCACGTGTTGAAACACTAAATTAGGGTGAATAGGCACTGATTTGACACCATATATACAACAGGGAAAATAATCTTAACTATGCTTTAGAACTGCAAGAAATTGAAAAAATCATTGGAAATTTTTTTTCCCCTTCCTATTCAGTCAGTTATAATGACAGTGCAGCAGCAAGCACTGGAGTACTGTGTCTGGAATGTGAAGACCCATATCAGTTGATTTTTGTGAGACTACTGTTCTGTGCAATCAAAACTAAGGGATTATTAAAAAGAAGGCTCTAGCCCAGCTCTTCAGACATGTAGGTGCCTAAAATCCAGTGATTTTAACAGCAAAGACTCTGTTATAGTCCAGCATAGCTATTTTCCTGGAGCTGTAGATCGAAGTATCTTTGAGGATCAGCAATATTGTTTCTGTTCAGTTGTAAAGTTATGTAAGAGTTAATCTCCAGAATATTTGTCACTGTCTTGGGTTTTTCCCATTTGGGAATGCTCAGCAATGTTTTGCTGCGGAGTTTTTAACCATTGCTTCACAATCTATCTTCCATGATTGTTAGGGGACGTCCTGGCTGCATGTGGGAACAGACCAGCCCTTCATTTCCATCTCCATTGGAGCCTTTTACCAAGTGTGGGCTATTGCTAGAGACGGTTCTGCCTTCTATCGCGGCTCAGTGTCTCCAAATAAACCTGCAGGTAAGTCCTTGTACCTGATCTCACACTCTGCTACATTGCCATGTCTGAAAAAGACCAATCTGCTTCACAGAGACCTTTCCCATAGCTGTGCAAAACTCTGCAGATGAATAGTATGCTAATAACAGCAGTTAATTCGCTCTTCACTTGCATGATTTAAAGTGTTTGTAAAAACATCCGCAGTGTAGTGGCATTCACAGCTCTCTTGCACAGCAGTGTAACTCAGCTGGAGGCATTTCCAGAACTTCTCGTGCATAATTCTGTTTTCTCAATGTTTTACTCAAGTATTTCTGACCTTTAGGTGACTGTTGGTACCATATTCCTTCACCTCAAAAACAAAAGTTAAAGCAAGTCTCAGTAGGACGAACGTCTGTGTTTGTCTTGGATACAAATGGTAAGGAGTTTTGAAAATCACTTGTCAGTGTCAACAAAAATACATCAGTGTATATCAGATTGATTTAAAAGGGAGAGGCTAAGGTAGAGCTTCTGCTTGGACAGATGATTACCGGTGCTCCACGAGGAGCAATATTCCATACTGGAAGATTTGGAGTAGGCAGTGCATTCCAGTACTGCTTCTGAAGACTTGATTTTGTTGTATCTGAGAGTGCCCTGGGTAACAACAATCCAACATCTGTGCTATTCCTGGGGGTAAGACATAGATGAATGTCAGAATTGCATAGCAGGATTTTGTCTGGAACCCTAGTACAAAACTGCAGAGCAATACTTGCCTGTTCAAAACCTAGAAACAGCCTCTTCCTTGCAAGATGCATTATGAAGCACCTTCTGTAAAAGAAACAAGCCTTTAACACCAGAGATCTTCAGCTCATTTGTTTTTGTCTTTTAGTTCATAGTTCCTTATATGAACATTTTTCCCCAGTAAATTTTACCAAAGAGAGTATTTGTTGTTTTCCTGGAAGGTTATAAAGAATAACTCTAGAAATACAACTTCCGAAGTAGGAATTTCATTGTCCTTCACTGTGACACATTAGCCAAAACCATAATGCATTTCCCCTGACCACAGAAAGAGTGAACTGCTGATTTGTTGTGTTGTTTACAGCACTTTAGGCAAAGCCACACTGAGCTGTAACCAGCACTCTTTATCCTACAGGCAATCTTTGGTACCGGCAGGGCATCACCCCGAGCTACCCTCAGGGATCTACTTGGGATCCTGTGTCAAATAACATCCGGAAAATGTCTATAGGGCCCCTGGACCAGGTGTGTATTGAGCTACCTCAGAGCTCATTAATTTATTATAAATTATGCATAACATACTTTAGTAATTAAATGTTCTGGAGAATTATTTTTGTTTATGTTTATTCCACAAAGTGATGGTCTAAGTTTTGGAATCCTGACAGCAAGACAAAGATGATGCCAGTGATGAAGCAGTGATACAGGCAGCCCTTTGATGTAAAAAGCCTTATTAATATCTTACATTTTTATTTTTAACAAGGCTATGTATTTTAACAAGGTTTTTCATATATTTAATCTCTTTCCTGCCAAGTTTTATCTGGCAATGGTTTGAATACACCACTGCTCTATGGTTGGTTTGGGTGTGTCTCTGCCCAAACCAGAGCAGTTTTGACCCAAGACTGACTTCTCAAAGAGTGAAACAGTTTTCACATCTGGGAAGAGGAGCAGATTTCATTGCCTCTCTTTGCTTTCTTGAGGTCTGGGTGATAGCTGACAAAGTGCAGGGAAGTCACAGCCTGAGCTGTGGGACAGTCTGCCATCGCACTGGGGTGCAGCCAATGGAGCCCAAAGGCCTCTCATGGGACTATGGGATTGGGGTAAGTGCTGGGGGCATAACACTGCCTGAAAATTGTGCAACCAGATGTCCATGGGCACACCCAGAAAGGAGAGTGCCATCCTACCCAGCTGGCAAGTGTTTGAAAGCTTGGATATACCTGCAGGAAACTGCCTTTTGTTCAGTTTCAGGTTCCTTTTTGAAGTTAGTATGTTAGCTGTGCAGTTACAGCTGGGAAATTGTTTATTTGCATGTGATAAATATTCACTTTAACTAGGTAATTTAAGTTATAATGGAAAAACTAGTGAAGTAAGTGCCATTTAAAAAAAAAAAGGTGGATTCCTTCCTGGTCTGCATGCACAGGATTATTCCTCATTGTTGCACCCTGCATTACTCAGTGCTTGAGAAAGGCTGTTTCAAGGGTTTGCTCCTTTTTAAGTTGGTGGAAAACCTGCAGTGGCTCTGGTATGAATGCCTGACCCTACTAATCTGAGTTCTCTCTAATAAAAATAATCCTCAAGTTTACTACCTCTATCCTTCCCCCTGTCAGGGAAATCTGTTATGTTTTGTTTTACAAGGAGCCTTTTTTCCTGATTCAGCCCAGAACAGGATTCCTTTCATCATGGATAAATAGTATAAAACTAGTAGTGCACATCAGATACTGCACTTGCAGGTGATGTTTATCCTTTTGAATTTCTGTCCCAATCTTTTGCAGGGTGGGTGGGAGCACATCACAGTCAGAGGAAATGCAACAGAAGCATCTCGGGTGGCTGTGCAGGACACCTCTGAGGAAAACCTTGCAGTGTCAAAGGATGGAGAAGATGAGGAGAGTAAAGGGAAAACAGAACACTTTAAAACCCCTCTGATGGTCAGTGAAAGTCAAGAATTGGACAGAAACTCTGTTAATTGTTAAGTTGTCACCATCTACATGTTTTAAACAAGCAACAGGCAGTGTAATTTAAAGAGAAACTAAATGTCTGTTGCTTGGAGAGAAAAACATGACCCTTTTGTGCTACTAATATCTTTGACTGAACTGGACTTTGCAATGGGGTATTTTAAATACTGACTTCTTCTACTACATCATGTGTAAAATGTGACTTGCTAGAGCTCATAGTTTTGTCAAAGCAGACAGGGTTTTAGCCACAATGTGTTTCTGACCCTTTACCATGGCTGCTACACACCATACAAATGTGAATATCTTTGCAGATAACTACATTTACTTCTTTTTTTATGGATAAAAAAGGAGAAATACAGTGTCACACACCTCGCACACTGTTCAGATCTGAGCACACGTGAAGATGTTGTATGAACTTAAATGAATTGCAGGCAGACAGAACTGGTCCTGTCTGTAAAGCATTTCCACATGCAGAGAGCTCTGCCCATGAGAATGCTCTGTGTGTCAGCATGTAGCTTGGGTCATGCTATTCTTGCTCCCATCAGCAAATCAAATCCTGTACAACTCAGCTGAGGGTGCAATTACCAGTAAGGGCCAATTTTTGCTGTCTTTGCTCACAGTGAGCAATATCTTAATCAAGAAGTGGAACCACTGGTTTCAGCAGGGCTATGTAGGGAGCACAGTCCTGTTCAGTCTGACTCAGTGACAATGTCTCGTTCCAAACTGTCAGTCCAAGTGGTGGTAAACTGTGTTTTGTCTTCATCTTAACTGAAACTGTGAAATTGAGGTATCAATGCCTACCTAATGAGGCTGGAAGGCACCAGGCACTTGAGGAGTTAGGCTGTGTTCCAAATCACTGCAAATTATGCTTTCATAGTGTAAAAGTCAAGAGAAGGTCTTAAATTCTGACTGTACAGTGGTAGGAATGCAAAACCACTTCACCGATATCAGGAATTTGCCAATGTCTACTGATGTGGGCTCAGATTGAAGCTCTGCTCCTTGTTTTTAGTAAGTGATTGATTCATCCCTTCTTCCAACAAGAAACCACTTTTTATTCTCAAAAAACACCCATTTTTCCTTATTTATAATAATTGGACAGTTTACATTCATTTTCCTCTGTGTGTGTGACTGTATTTGGAGTTATTTTTATATGAAGAGCAGTTTGGTGTGGTCTCAGTACTGTATTTGTAGAAGTATAACTTATGTTTGCACGTATTTAAAGACTATATTTGGTATTTAATGCCAAGGAAAGCACTGTTTCCAAGTCCAAATGTGAATGAAGATTGAAGATGCTTTACTGTTTAAAAAGAACCTGTTGATCTTTCCAGTCTGTGATTATAGAGATTTCTACAAACGTTGTGGGAGAACCATAAATAACATCTTTGCATTGATTACCTTAATAGGTTTTGCATAACTTGCACAGTCTCTTGTCCAAATAAATAACTTTATTACATGTATTTTTAGAGCATTATTAGTATTGTATTTTCTCTGTATTGTATCAAAAAGGGTTTTTTCCTTTTAATAGTCAGTGTTTACATATCCAACAATCAACCTGACTGCATACAATCAGCTTTATAATGTACCTTTGCATTTTTCC